GCCAGGTGGATAGCCGTCCTCCTACCAATCACACGCCGATTATGTGAAAGACGTTATTATGTAGCACAGAAACAGCTGTGGGCGATGGTCACGCCGCTCGGGGAAAATCCTCGAAAGCCTGTTGGAAAGAAGTATCACAGCAGCAGCGCACGTTTACAACACACGAGACAACCAGCACAGCAGCACACGAGACTGCACTAGGCCAAGGGCAGCCAAAAGCGCACATCATTGCCGCGTCGCGTGCGCTCTTAGAGCCGGTTGCCTGCTGTCGGCAGCACAAGTGAGGGAGGCGAGTGCACAATAGCCAACCTGCGGCCTGTCTTGCATCTGCAGGGCGGGCTTTTGAGATTCCCACAAAGACGCACCCCCAAGCGCAAAGACAAGGAGACGCACACATTGCTATGGGCTCAGGGCGGCTAAAGGCCATCATTATTGGAGACGTCGGGAGGGAATTTGTTATAGCTACCTGCTGCTAGCAGCGTGAGCGAGGGAAGCAAGTGCACACCATGCGCGGTGTCTCCGACTTTTTCACATAGCAGCAGCTGATGAGAGCTTCGTCCACACAAAGCAACGCTCTCACTCATGCCCGCGCTGTGTGTCCAAGAATTTGGCCACATCACGGTGTCGGTGTCCTAGATACACTTCAATGGACATGAAACCACGTGCGATGTGTGCCCACGCCCCCCAGCTGTCGAACAAATTGCCGTTCATCCCAAACCAACACGTGGTCATACACAATCACCGGTGTGTTGAATAGTTTTATTTGCCGTTAGCCATATCTTGCAGCACAGAATAGCATGGCCTCTTCAAGCTGCGACCGCTTTGCAAACGGTCCATGCTTGGCTTGGTTCCACCACGCTATGCCAGTACTTTGATTCCCGCGCGAAAAGCCAGACCACACTACCTACTGCTGCATACATGTATTTTTGGAGTCTCTGCGAACAGCACTGCAACACCCCTGCCCGACATCTATCTTCTGAGAAAAGAAGTAAATATTTCAGTCGCCCGGCTGGACATTAAAATGCTGGGGGGCGCTAGAGTAACTTGGAGTCAATGCATTGCGTTCGGAGTGTCGGTGCACATATCATGCAACCCGGCTGTCAAAAGGTTTCGAAGAGCAACAAACAGTGAAGAGCCCAGGAACATTGGACATTATCCGTAGAATGTTACACTTTGTTGTCGTAAACAATTTGACGCTATAAGCGTTTCCTGGTAGTTTGGTACCACAGCCGCTGCTACTGCCGATACGAATGGAGCAGCAGCAACTAGCCAGTGTAGAACTCGAAAGAAATGTGTTATCAGAGAAGCAACGTTTCCTGTTGGAGGTGGTCGCACATCCGCACGCACAAACACCTGGCTATCCTTTTGCCATCGGTTTGTCTTAGCCCGAATATGCACTGTTAGGCGACCAAATATAGTTTTGAGCTTGAGCTTGCCGTGATATTATTCGGCACTCTAGAGCGCACCCGAGCACTTCTTCATTTAGCCATAGGCGGATATTCTCTCAGTTTTTCCATACGAACTCACAAATACTCGCTTTCCTCGCTTCGCTCGCTTCGGTGGCGTCAACTGACAAGCATGGGTCATATGCCGGGGCTACCTCGACAATGAGTTCCAACTGAAATGAGCGTCGCCCCGATGATTAACCTGGGCTATGTGTTCCGCATGAGTGCGTGGAAAAGATACTGATGATTTCCGTCCGTCAACTGGCCAAACGCAGATGTGCAAATTCTGGGATACAAAAATGTTACCAGGCGTTGGTTCAAACGTTTTCCGGGCAGACAGCCCATGTGCACCTGGATGCGATCTTGAGTGCGTCATGCGGTTGTCGTCGCTGACGGTTGCGCGAATCCTGATCGAGGGCAGGAGAAAGCTTGGAAACATATCGGCCTGATGCCTCACACACAAGCACCCGAGGCAGAGCCTACGAAGGTGCTTGATAGCCTACGAAGGTGCTTGATAGCCTACGAAGGTGCTTGATTTAATGTTTACACTTGACGGACATGGACCTTCGGAAGTCCTACAATGAGTGACAAGGGGCGCAAGGGCCATGGAGGTCCAAGCAAAGTAGTCTTGCTGTCCTGCCACGGTCACATTCGAAGCACTATATAGTCCCGGAGAAGCATAAGAAGCGGGTCCATGGCTAGCCTCCAAAGTGTGCACCCTCCTGATTTCTACTCCCTACAACGTATCCGGCATCTACACTTTTTCTCATCGTGCCCTTGGTGTGGTACATTAGAGGGACAACGCACAAAATTTGCCTATCGTGGTGGTTGAGAGCGGTGAAAAAACTCCAAGCATGTACATAAATCAGTTCGTGGAAGCTGAACGCGCAGGTGCATCTTGAAGATCAACCACAAAACCTATTGCACGGTCCTTTTGACGCGCATAGTATGTATCTTCGAAAAATACATCTCGTTGTATCCAGTTTCGAGCCGTACACAGACAAACTTTACACGCCCTCCACGTACCGCCAAAGAGTGCCCAGACGTTACCCCGATTTTCTTACGAATGAGACGTCACCCGACGCGTTGTAGAAAATATCAGCGGTCAAGCGTTCCACGGTGCACTATACATTGTCACCCCACCCACTCTTAGCCTATATCGTACCACTAAAACTTGAACTTGTGCTACTCGGTCCACACCAGACAGGCAGTGAGAACATGGAGAGTTTTGCCGAGGCGCTCGGTGAAGAAATGGCAGACAACCTCTTGGGCACCGGCCAACGGGATTATAGAGCCGTCACGGGCGGGACTGAAGCATCGGATGTATCAGATTTCACTCCCGCGCAGCTGGCGGCGATGCGGGAGAGAATTTCCGTTCAAGGCATGCCTCTCCCAGATGGAGTCAACGACGTGGAATGGCAACCGCCAGCGTCGACAGGACTCGAACATTCCAGCGCCATATTCAATACAATATTGGACCAGAAAGGGGTGCTACGACACTCCAGCGCAGGATTCAACGTGGACAATTGCCATTTCCGGAGTTGGCAAGAGGAAAACGGTGTCGCCAAGACGTTCGCCTCCGACACGGTCGTGAAAGATGTCGACGGGGTGACACGGAGCGTGGCCATCGCTGGTGGGCTTCCTCAGCTACCAGTGCGCCCAAAGACGATGACGGCGGGCGATTGGCGCTCTTCTCATGCAAGAGCGGCACCAGAAGCCATCAAGCCGGTTGTCGGTCCCGGTACGAGGATTGTTTCGCCTTCCAAGGGAGTGCCCTCTCCTCTGGTGCGTGCTCCTCTAGGCAGAGTGAAAACTGGACCGGTATCTGCGACGGAAGGAAGCGGTCAAGGCAGGTTGCAATTCACCCAGGAGGACGAAAGTGGGTCCGACCAAAACGAACCACCTGTGCCACCAGGTCCTTTGAACGACGCGGTCGAGGGCGCAGAGGAGGGAAAGGAATTGAGTGAAAATGGGAGGGATTCTGGGGTCGGGGAGATTGACGCTGAGCCTTCCGACGGATCCCGCAAGCAGACCTCCTTGATGGCGCGACACGATTCACGTACTTCATCGAATGTTGCAGGTGACACACCAGAGGGAACGGACGGCACGAAAGATTCACCGCAACGAGAGGATGATCCGACAGACAGGGTCACTACTGGGCCGTCACTGCTTTCGTGGACGGATGGGTCGAAGCAACCCTATTCGCAAACACCACGGCGCCCTTCAAGCGGTCCCGCCAGCTCGCACGCACGGCAGCAACCACAGAATGGGCGGTCACTTCACCACAAGGTGCCATACAACCCGAGTCTTTGTTGTTGTTGTTGTTGTCGTCGTCACATTGAAAACCGTTTCGACCTCTCTGCCCGAATACCTTCCTCTGTCCGTACTGATCTGCCGTTTGACGCGGCCGATTTCCGTGGCAACAGGCTAACTCCGTAGTGCTAACGGCTTGGTCAAGTGTGGTGGTCTCCATGTCGGAATACCACTTTCTGGAGTATTCCTGGGTAGGTGCAACCTGTGCACGGCAGCATAGCGTTTCACCGTACAGCAACCTAGCGATAACGGTGCACAGCAACCTAGCGCCGCGGCTTGCCGCGGCTATAGGCTTACCTGGTACAGTGACCTAGCACTTGCCAATGGCAGTGGTTTGGGTCGGGTTCGTGAGGTTGGGGTTAGGGATAAGGGCATATCCTAGCTTTGGAGCGCTGCAAAAACATGTACAGCGGGCAGGATACGAACCAGCCACCAGTAATTCGAACAAGGAAGCGTTCTATCTATCGGGATATATCTCTCTGCCTCCTCCGCACCAACACGCCAACGATTCCCCTGGCCATTTACTGCGACTCTGGCGTGGTATCTAGGACCTTTCAGCACGAAAATTCTCGTCAATCATTGCGTTCGACCATGTCGGTGGCACCTCTCGGCTAACTTACCCTAACATGGGTATACGCAAATATTATGAGGGTCCGCAACACAATATGCAAGTACATATTTCTATCTTGTTTGGTTGACATCACATCGTGGGTGATAATTTGTCTGCCCATCTGCCGCCTCCTTCTTCTGTCGCCTCCATTACTCCCATGCCCCGGTGCGTTGTGCCTGGTGCTGGTACGTTTCCCTTTGATTTTTTTAGGCGGGTGTAGGAAGCGTCCTCCTTTTATCTTTATTATTGTTTGTTATTTTTTGATCGGGTTTCGGGGGCTCTTTTCTCGACCGGTCGGTGCGGTAGCTGTTCGTTTCTTTCTATCATTTTATTTTATTTTTCCGAGTGGCTTTTACCGTATTTTTGTTTTGCTTCCCCGCGGCGTCGTATGTGCCGGGTTTTTGCGACCACGGGGTCCCCATTTTTGTGGACTACGAAGGAAATGTGAGAAACAACAGCAAAAAATTCACCGAGAGGAAACATACTGCTACCTACACATTTCCATTTGGTTGGGTGACACGGAGCTGATTCCAAAACAGAGTGTCATTTTGCTTCAGCACGAAGGCACACCGATGCTATTTCGTATGCGTGACGGCACGCCCCAGCTTGGCCTCGGCTGCTGCTAAATTGGCATGCACATCACGGTTGGGGACTGCATTCCGTTAGACAAGGTTTGGGTGAACGGAACCACCTGCGTATCAATTCTGTGATTAACGATCGCCGCGATATTGTACTGGTGCGTCATGTTCGCTGCTTTGAAAGTCGCCTGTGTCAGTGAGTTCTGCACACGTCGCTACTGATGCTGTTGGTATGGAAATCCGCAACGTACCCAGGATGCCATCGGCGATGTGCCGGCTGTCGCACAGAAAGGAGGAGGGGCCGAGGTAGGACGCCGACCTTCTCTTGTGCGCCGGTTCAGCGGGGAATGCAAAACGGCAGTGGTTGTTCACGAGGGTGGTGCCGTCGAGGGCGCCCCGGGTGTCACAATCACGCTAGAGAAGGAAGCTGCCATCACCAACGCTCAGGATGGACATGGCGTTGTGGTTGAGAAAGCGGGGACGGGTGATGGCCAAGACGGGCGGGGAGGCCTAAAGGAGAAATTAGAAGAACAACAACACAGGGCTCCCGAACTGTCGAGCTTGACTCCGAGTACAAAGGTGTGGGGGGTAATGACAGATTGCAACAGGTTGGCATGCCTGTTGGCTGAACTGGAGGAGGACCCGAGGTGGTTGTACATGCCGATTTCTTGATACCACAACCTTCAGTTGAATGGAGTTCGTATGGCCTCATGTTTTGTTCAGTGCACTTGTATTCCTGGAATTTTTCGTTGATTCTTGGGTTTTGGAAGGGCCCAAACACGCACGGTGGACAGACGCGACAGACCGAAACAATCATGTTGGCGTCGTAATCAAGCTGGAGGTCGACTATACATGTCCTGTATGACTAGTCTAGCACCAGAACCTTCCTCATGATGGAGCAAGCTGTTGATGTCAAGGGGCGCACATTCCTACACATATATATATATATATATCAGTGATGCAATGCTACCATCAGTATTGCATGGGCGACAGGCGTGCGCTTCGTCCGTAAAAACCTGTGTCACCGCTGCGTAGTTGCCTGGTTGAAATGGCTCGCTGAATTGACTCGCTTCGTAAGAATGTTGTATTTTTTCGACGCTTTGCCCCTGTGCGTCGATGCATGGACCGATAGCCTGCCCCACACAGATAGAGAAAGCAACCAAGAAATCGTGGTGGGGTGGACCACGAACTCTCAATGAAAATGTTCGACCCCCGTGTAAGTCACCGCCACAGGAACGGGTTCCAGAACAAGCCGAAGAACAGCCCCGAGAACAGCCCGAAGAACCGGTCCATGAGAGCGAGCTCCCGGCGGCAGCCTCTCCTGCCACTACAAACCGCGCAGCTCCCGAACGCAGGTCGTGGCTCAGCTTTAAGTGGAATCGGAGGAATGTTTCGGCGTAAATGAGAAGCGGTGCCCTGCAGGCACTTCCCGATGAGGCAGGACTAGGGGATGTAGTTCTAGCCGAAGTTGTCGACGGCTTTCTTCTGTTTCCTCCGTCCTAGGGCTGGCTTTTGAACCAGAATCAAAGAGTGTGAGGAATGCCTTCGCGACCGAAGATTTTACTTGCCTTAACCAGCCAGGATTCCGTTTGACTGCTGGTGCAGCCTGATGGAACGGCATAAGGGTGAGGCTTTGTCTGCCAACACGTGGACAGCGAACTAGCACCCTCTGAACTGTTAGAGACAGTAGACGATGCCCGTATTTCTAGATGCCGACTGCGCGAATTCGGCATTGGAAAACAGTCCGGCGTCGTCAGGAGGTGGTGTTGGTACGTATTGTGCGTTTCAAGAACGAAGATGTGCTGGCCGGTGGCAGACATTTTCTAGAAGACGTTGATGGGCATGCTGCTAGCCGTCGAGGGCAATCAGGGTGTGCAGGTACGCTCGCAGTATCCCGTTTGGCCTTTTCAACGCGAAAAACGTCGAATGAAAAATTGAAGGTTGAAATTGATCGAAGCCCAGGTAGCATGGGAAGGAATATTGATTATTCACGTGGGGCACCTGCAGGCAAGTGAATTTTCTTGACATGACCCTACGTCGTTGCCGATGGTGACGGAGACTCAGTCTCTGGAAAATTGTTTTCGTGCGATAGGCGGAGAAGCGCCTTTTACCGCTAGTCGGCGACGGAGGTTTGGAAGGCGTGCTGGACGGGACGATTTTGCATTGACGGTAGTGAAATGCTGAGGCATGGGCTGAACGCGAAGTAGTTGTTAGCGTGGTGGCTTTGCTGTTCATGGTTGACCAATGATCCGCCAATAATCACGATGCCGAGGGACAGAGCTAGTTGCGCTTCCCTCTGCCGGACTCAGTTTGTTGCGATACTTTGTGCGGGACTGTCCTAATCGCAGACGCTGTTTTATATTTGCCGTGCTGGTTCGAAGATTGGTTGCTTGTTTAGAAGGCTGTGGCAGCAACTTAGCGCTCGAGAAATATTGAGATCTGTTCAAGTGCGAAGGTGGTCAGGGAGGGCAAGGGTGTCGCAAGACCCTGAAATCGCGGAGCCATTGCTCCGCTAACACGTTGTTCTCGTTAAACGGCCAACCTGAACGGAAGGAGACGAATCCAAACGCTGAGAGCAACACAACTTGCGACCAACCAAGGCTGGTAGTCTGTGCCTCTCTCATGAGAACGAATGAATATTTGCTGTTGAAGCAGCTTGTTACGTTCCAACTCATTTGGTACCCCATAATTGAGCTTGCTCCACGAACTGATTGTACCCTAGCTGGTGGACGTTGAGGGTATAACACGGTAACGGATCTTACCAGCTAGCCCTGGTTCTACTAAAACATGATGGAGGAGTACAGAATTTTGGTTTTGCGTTTAGAGCAAACAGAAAGACAGAACAAAAACAGGCAAGCATCGGGATCCAAACATCGACATACTGGACGTGCACGAGCATCGAGTCGTGACCGACTTTGCCACTCGTCAACGACACGGACCACATGAGCACCAACCAGCAGCACCACCAGCATGGAGGACCGCTCCCTCAACAGCGAGGGGGACCCCCTCAGCACCATCAGCATGGAGGACTGCTCCTTCACCAGCCACCTCCTCAACACTACCAGAAAGGGGGGCCACGCCTCCGCCAGCCAGGTGTTCCCTCTCCGTATCACCAGCACGAGGGCATCTTTTTGATCTGCCTCCGCACCAGCCCCGGGAGTTTTACCAGTCGAGGGGTTTCCACCAACCGTTAAATCAGTCCACCACCCATTTAATCAGTCAGGCGGCTTCCTCCCACCTTGAGGTTTTCTTCAGCTTTCACAGGGTCACGGGTTCCATCCCCAACCTCGTGCGGGGGGGAGTCATTGGCCATCACCAACAACGGCAGCCAGGTATTCTTTACGGAGGATCGCCTCAACCTCCGATTCAACGTATGCACGGACCCGGGGTTGGAGGGCGGACATTGAGGAACACAGCCGTCCTCTTCGGTGTTCAGCGCCAACGTGGAGACCCCCAACAGCGTCGCCACTTTGTGCAAAGCATCAAGAAGCGCATCGTCTATAGGACGGGAGACGGTGGAGCGACTATGCAGGTTTCCGACGCCCTCAAAAGAGGTGGTCAAACCAGCGGCTCGTGGTGCTGTGGATGACACGGCAACAACGAGTGGCACACTTACAAGGTGCACCACGCGCTGCCGTGGCGCGGGACGCTCGGAGACCTGCATCGTGGGAGACCAAGCACTGAGGAAACTGTCCTGGGAAAGACATGCGACAAAACACGCGTCTAAGTCTTGTTTGTGTATGTACTCGGCAGGATACAGATCTCCGAGATATCCGAGGGGGCACGCAGATATGATAGGTTTGGGTATATGCAGACGTGTGTGCAGCAGCAGGTCCTTCTTGCCTGCTGCTCATGCTTGTCACTCGTTAATAATCAAGGAACTTGAGTCAATCCTTTGTGCACAAACGCTCTCGACAAGAGCCCACGAGCGCGACAACATAGCACACGCGCCGACACCACAAACACGATATCGTGAGTCTGCAGACGTCGGTTGGGAAAGGTTCGGGAGATAGGCACCGGAAGACAAGGGCGGCAGCAGCAGCAGGGAGGACCCGCGCGCGTCGCCGAGGAGATCCGCTTGGAACACAAGGGCAGCCGCGACAGGCGCGCCAAGGAGANCCCGACAAGAGCCCGCGAGCGTGATAACATAGCACACGCGCCGACACCACAACACGACATCGTGTGTCTGCAGACGTCGGTTGGGAAAGGTTCGGGAGGTAGGCACCGGAAGACAAGGGCGGCAGCAGCAGCAGGGAGGACCCGCGCGCGTCGCCGAGGAGATCCGCTTGGAACACAAGGGCAGCCGCGACAGGCGCGCCAAGGAGATCCAGGGACAGCATTTGGAATACAAGGGCAGCAGCGGTAAGCGTGCCAAGGAGATCCAGTTACGTGAACAAGAACAAAAAAAATGCGGCACGAGGGTTCTCGTTGAGTCGGCGGCTGGTGAGCTCCGCCGGCTCGCCAAAGCGGGCGAGCTTCCGTCCCTCGGGCCCGCGGAGCGCCGGGATGTCCGTGTCGCTGCCGCTGTCGCTGTCGCTGCCGCTGTCACTTCCGCTACCGCTGCTGCTGCTGTTGCTGCTGCTGCTGCTGCTGCGACGGTCGTCCTCGCCGCCGCCCACATCGGCNTCATGTTCCGGCGAGGGTTCTCCCTGAGTCGGCGGCTGGTGAGCTCCGCCGGCTCGCCAAAGCGGGCGAGCTTCCGTCCCTCGGGCCCGCGGAGGGCCGGGATGTCCGTGTCGCTGCCGCTGTCGCTGTCGCTGCCGCTGTCACTTCCGCTACCGCTGCTGCTGCTGTTGCTGCTGCTGCTGCTGCTGCGACGGTCGTCCTCGCCGCCGCCCACATCGGCCATCCCGGTCGACGTGGTAGATGGGGCGACGCTCGCGCCCTCCCTGCTCGAGGGGGCGCCATCGCCAGCGT